CCTGATCCTTGGCTTCAGTTGAGCGAGACGACTGGGTCTCGTCCCACCACAAGGTGATACAGCCTGATACAGCTGTCATCCACATAAGGTATGTCTTAGGATCCTTCGGTAGGAGTGATGTAAATGAGTGAAAGCACAGTTTTCAAAGCTTTTTTGGTCCTCTATTGAGAAGATGATCCCAACGCAGCAACTGACTAAGATTCTTGTGTAAATCCAGTGACCGTTTACGAAATGGATGTCGGCTGTAGCCATTTTGATGCAAAGGGATCGGTGCTGCTTTTGCCTGTTGGTCGGTCTGCAACTGCATGCTTAGCTTTGGCCATTTTAACCTGTTTTGCATGCTCAGGATGCTTCCGCCGATTTTGTGTACAGCAAGGATGCTTGGTGCTATATGCCTGACAAACAGCTGATCATTGATCAAGCTGCTCGCATTGTAAAGCCCGGAGGAAAAGTCATGTTCACAGACTGGATTGAGGGTGAAGGTCTTTCAGACCCGGAAGCGCAACGATTCTTGGGCCTTATGACATTCCCTGCCATCCCAACGGTGAAGGAGTATGCGCAGATGCTGGAGAAGGCAAACTTTGAAGTTGAGATCGCCGAGAATAGTGGCCGCTTCTCACCTGCCATGCAGAGCTATGTGCACATGCTGAAGTTGCAAGCAGTGTATGATGCGAAGAAGTTGCTTGGCTGGGACGAAGAGGCATACGACAAGTTGATCTCGGACTTTGAGTTCATGGCCAAACTCGCTCGCGAAGGTAAGATCATTCAGGGTATGTTTGTTGCCCACAAGAAAGATGTTCGCCGTGAGATGTGAGTTGCAGCAGGCCAGGCACTTTCCGGAAAGTTCCTTGCTAGCAAACTTGACCTTCCAAGGCCTTGATTAATTAGATTCCGCTGCTTTGCTAACCAAGAATTGTGTGCGAGCATGCTCACACTCCATGTGGCTCAAACGTATGGTGTGTACATGTGTGTACTATCCAAACCCACTGGAAAGAGACAATCGACCAAACCTTGGGGTTCCTGACCCCATCATTTAATCGAGCCACATCCCTGTGTTGCAATGCAGTTGTTTGAAAGAGATACAGGCGCCACTCACCAGTAACCAGTACTACCAGTGGTGCTGTAACTTGAGGCCAAGGCTTGTATAGAAAAGGTCTTTCGCCATCGTTCCATAGCAGGGTGATGCAAAGATTTTAATGGAGATTATCTCGAGCACTGTGGCACATATAACGCATATAATATATTCAATGGTCTTGGACTCGGCTGTCGCTCGATGTCAATCTCCTCAGTTGGATTTGCACAGCTTATTAGTCCTCACGAGGTCCAATTGCTCGTGATGTGCTCCTGCCTTGAAGCTTCACTTCGAGCGTCCTATTCTAGTCGCTGCCGAAGGGTGTGCGAACACAGACGAAGTGTGTGGACAAAGCAGGAGGGGCGTCGGTTAAAAGGAGCTTGCGCTTTGCTAGCACAGATTTGTGGACAACCCCTTGCAATTTTTGAGTTGCCGCATCTTCCAGATGGATGTCCCAGCGAGATTTTTGCGGCCAACGCAAAGCTTGGGGGGGACAGAAGCATCATGGGAAATAACAGAATTAACACGAACGGAAAAAAAGACAGGTACTCTTCCGTGATTTCTTGGATGCGTCCGTCCAAGGTCCCAAGGTTGGATGGTCTTGCTCCATCTTGCTCCTTGCTCCTTCCGACATCGGAGAGTCCAGATCTCGCAGGAGTGGCTTCCGAAGCCAACGGAAACTGCTTCCTCAGCAGAGTCCGAAAGCTCCATCCATCCATCCATCCATCCATCCATCCATCCATCCATCC